GAATAACGTTCTATATGCGTGTGTATACGCGCGGATTGTTTGAATTCCTAAATAAACGCCAAACAGCGCGTGATATATCCATCGAGCATCCGGAATGGGTAGAACGAGAGTTTTCGAAGTGTTATTCGATTTCCTGGAAAAGCGAGGTTCCACGTCGACGAGGATATCATTCACGCTCGGTAATAGACCAATGGATTATTTCGTGAGCAAACACAGGCCTCGGATTTAAGTTTCGACGCTCCCGCGCACTTTGACAATTTTCCGCTGGGTTTTCCCCATCGCGAAAAGTATTTTCGGTAATTAGATCGAACAGCGATATAAATCGATGTTGTAACCGCGATTACGTTATGAAAGATAAGAATTTCTTATTTTACACAAATGAGACAGTTCATTCATTTACTTTCGAACGTGAACGGTACGACAAAGCGTACGGTGTATTTTTGAAATCGTGTACTTTCTCGAAAGGTATATATTTGATATTATAATATTTCACGTACGAAAAATAGCGGAAGCTACATGACGTATTATAATTTTCATTTTCACCAGTCCGCGGAAGATAAAATATTAATAATATCGGTATGTCGATTCTTGGTGATGGCAAAGGTATGATAAATTTTCTCGTAACGGGACTAAAGCGTCACTATATTAGACTTAATAGAAATAGTTTTCGGAAAAGTGAAATTCCATAGCCCAAGGGTGCGGTCGAAAAATCTGGAGCCCATGTATTTGACCCTCGGTTATTCTATATAGCTTCGAGACTGATATATATTCCTCCCGAAGGGCAAGAACTTATGTCGCGCGTAAACTTCTCCCCAAGACTTATCGTCGCGCGATACGTTACAATGTAGTGAGGATTCGGAATTGTACCGCAAACAGCGATTTCGCATATGTAAAAATCTTTGCAGCATCTAAACGAAATATTTGATTAATTTCGTGAGATATTTTCCCACAAGTACGAATGATGCGCGCTTTCATATCGCGACGTTTAAATATTAATTATTAAAGAAAGAAATAAAATGCCAATTACTTGTCTAAATTGTATTAAATGTATATAATTATTGCGAATAATAATTGTTGCGTGCATTATAAATAATAATTAACACAAGTACACGATTTCTGTTTATATCGAAATAATATAAAATTAAATGCAAACTAAATTTAAACTGAATGTTAATATTTACGACAAAATATTTATTGTAGTGCATGTAACGAGTGAGGCAAAATATGCCGACGATTAAATTCATTTTGCGTCATTGAGCTTTCGGTAAAATCATCGAATACAGATGAAAAGTTCACAATGCAAAAAAAAACGCGAAATAAAATTTACAACATTAGCGATCGTGTTTGTGCACGTTCGTGCTTCAATCTTGATTACATAATTACGTTCGGAGGACCGTTTTAAATTAGATCCGAAGACAATCTTATGATCCCTTGCGAGATCATAGATAGAGGAAGCCACCGTCTTGGTAACATCGTATTCTTTTGAGCCCTTTTCGTTGACCGGATGGAATCGCGAGGACGTCCCCGTTACGGCGCAATGCCTCCGATAACTTTTATCGTCGCGGCCGGGTAAGATTCTTTTTTATTTTTAGGGATCACCGCAATTCTCCGTCCCCTCCTGGGCCCTTAGCCGCGGGCGGGGCGAATAAAAATTCATAGGCGTCCTCATAGAGATGTTATCGTTGCTCTCATCGCGCCCTTCATCTCGGACGTGCAACGGAAACGAAAAATGTCATCCACTTGGCCGCTGCGTCGACCGCGTCGTCGTCGATGTCGATAACAACGACAACGACGATCACGGGGGGTTATATAAGACGCGCACCAAAGACCTTAACGGGCGACAAGTTGCGAGCACAAAAAAAAAACGTTATCGCCACGCTACCGCAAGCCGCGCCGCCGTGGTGAACGCGGTGGAGCACGGGTGAGAAAAGGGGTGTCTATCCTCAGCACGTTGTAAATTTTTACGCCATCCGCGCGCCTACCAGCAGCCGCGTATAACAGTCGAATGGACTCGCAAAAAGCGTTTGATTAATGATCCGTACGGCTTAGAAGGTGTATTCAGGTTTAATCTGCCACAGCTGCGCTACAAAATCATCGGGGTCGTTTTCGGTGCGCGTGAAGGAACGGTCTTCCGTGCCGTTGGTACGCGCGAATCACAAAGTAAAATTAAAAAATTACATTTCAGACGTTGCGCGCGTATACAGCCTGAATGTGTACGCGGATAATTTGGTGCGTGCCAATCACTCGCGTGAGTTCGGCGTTATTGTCGTTATTTAATTTCTGCGACCGATCAAAGGCTCTAGACGCGCATGCTTTAACGAGGATGGACGCACTCGCAAATTAAATTACACCGAGATTGATGAGACGATACTAAGCAGGACGTTCCGTACACTCGGCCATGCGCCAATTCAACGGAGGGTTCGATCAAAGGAGAGCTCAATTCCTTTCGCAATTCCGAGTTTAAATTTCTCTCGAGACGCTACTACCAAGCTTTTTGCCCCGGGTATCGATGCGCAACTTGAAAACAACATCGGGGCTTTATTGCTTGAAGAAAGTGCATGCTCGTCTTTCAATGTTATCGAGGGCTGCTTTTGAGGTGAAAATCTCACGTAGCAAAAAGGCGATATCGAAATCGATTTAGGTGGGAACCGCTTCATCCTAAGGTTGACTCGTAACATCCGTTGAAAAATTCATAACGTAGGTTAACGATCAGCGACGTAGAGCGAAATAACCCCCGAAGCTTTTCATAAAGTACCAACGATTCAATTATAAAAAGGAGTAACATTCCGCGCGCAGCGTAAAGTGAAGTTGATCTCTCGAGAAGCAACGCAAGCGTAGTTTGGTGCAATAGCTGCTAATTTCAAACATTTCAACGAATTCTGTCATTTATTTATTAATTCCTCATAGTTCTATTTACATCTTCTAATTACATTCTTAATAATAAACGTTGGTAGTTCGGGGAATAAGAATGTTTAAATACCTGCGTAATATTTCCGTTTGCTTATTATCCCCTTCTACATTTCTTCTCGTTAAAGCAACGTGTTCCTTTAACGAGTAAGGAAAATAAAAGGGCAAGTCGTGCTGACTGAAGGGATAGACGATTTACATATACATAGCGAGGCATCTTCTTCACATAGGAAAAAATATGCACAACGTACATGCTTTCCTGTCAACCGTTTCAATAATTTTCTGATAAATATACGGCTTCATAAATACCAACGAGTAACACACAGACAAAAATTAACTTTTCCTTAATAGGGGTTGAGCCAATGCAATTCTAAGTTTTCAATTTAAAACAGTAACAGTATAGGTATCTTGAAATAAATAACCCGAGGGGAAAACCGCTGACCAAAATCTTGTACACCCCAGTGAGCATTACTTTATTTAATTGTCTCATTTTATCTTTCTAATGCCCCAGCAAGGCCTAATGCCCAAAAATGGCCAGTAATGCCGCAAATCTGTACACCGCAATGCCCTCGGCGGTTTACCCCTCGGTATCAACCGGGGGGGAAAACCGCCGACCAAAATCTTGTACACCAATGCCCAGCGGGCATTACTTAATTTTATTATCTTATTTGTCTTATTTTATCTTTATAGTGCCACAGCAAGGCCTAAGGTCCAAACTAATGTCCAAAAAATGCCTAGTAATGCCCAGTAAATGCCGCAAATCTGTACACCGCAAGATGCCCTCAGCGGTTTACCCCTCGAAATAATCGATGTCAAATAATCTAATTTCAATATGTTTCTTGCATCTGTTTCTTTTTGCGAGAGGTTTATGTAAAGCACCTGGTCATTTGGGAACATGTCAATTAGACAAAAGCTTGTTTGTCTTTTCGGAGGCGTGCCCTTTTCTCGCGCGGTGAATATTCGTTGCATAGATACAGCACGTTGCATAGTAGACATGTTTAAACGTGAAACATTTCTCTTAATAAATTCGTTGCTTCGAGACTCGATATACGTGTGCGTCTGTGCCATTGAGCGTGGAAATTTTCCAAATGTAATTAAGTTAAACCGAAATTGTACGTCTTGCGGATAAAATATGGTAACCGGTCGGTCGATGTAATAATGAATCGCGGTAACGTAGAGAACGCGCGCTTAAATTATGGAAAGTGGTCCATTGAATTACTTCAGCACTTTATTATGTGAATCACTATAGCACTTTATTAATGCAATTAGCTACTTATTGTCCCCTGGTTTCGTGCGACGGAGACCAAATCCCGCCGTAAGAACTTCGGAAACATCGTCGCGCTTTTACGTACCCGCGGGCCACACTTGCATAAACGCGCAATGCGTATGCGTGCCACGTTGCTGCAGTCGCATATGGAAAATGAAATGGACTACAAAGTGCACTTCAATTTACTGTACTAAAAAGAAAGCAATCTTCTAAGTGCAGCGCGAACGCGAAACAAAGGCGCATCCAGGGTAAAAAAGAAGATTACGAGCAAAAAAAGGGTCTTAATTGCCAGTTAACAGTGGCGACACGTGATAAAGATACCTAAATCTCTCTCGGCTCGCGACAAATGGTATGTAATCAGGCGTGCTTTAAACGCGTGTAACGAGATAACATACGGGAATTAACTGCCGGAATAATTCATTGTCGTAGTATCAGCGTAAGAAGCGTCGTTTTTACGCTAGCCATTTTAAACGGACGGTCATTCGTTCTTACTTAAATTCATTTTTACTTGCTAGGTGGAAGATAATCAGCATTTCGTGCGTGTAATTTTAATAACGTGTCACTCTAAATTTTACGGCTACTTTATTCAAGATTTCACCTGGTCATATTCGTTTCCCTTTCGCCGATGTCAAAAGCGTATATTTTATATATTGACAAGCGGCCTAAGATTCTGACGCACAAATCGGAAGAATGGTGGAGTATCGGAAAAGGGGAGGACTTTTAAAGTCTTTTAAGGTATCGCGTAAAGGCTGAACGACGAGTTGACTGAACGCAATACGAGCGAATGTATGCAAATAGCAGAGACACAGATACGGGAATCCCTTACCGAGAAAGCTTTGAGGAAGACCAGGCACTGTATGATGCCCTCCATCGTGTCCCCGGTTAAACAAAAGGTTCCGTTAAGGTGTCGCCCTTTGCGGCCTATCACGGAGCAGAGGTTGGCCTGCACAAAGGCACTCTGCGATCGCGTGGCTGCCGTGAGAGCCGGATGGTGAGGACGGGAACTCATTAGACGCTCCAGCGAGTCCATGTCTTCTAATTTTCGATGATCTCTCGTTTCGATCTCTCTCGGGTCATCGGCCAAAAGGGGGTCGCGAGAGCGTCGTGGCGGCGGAACACCGAACTTGGGGAGTGGTATCGAACATTAGTCATGGCTCTCCCCTTCGTCGTCGCGTTGCTGAACGAGTCTCGCCTCGCGTCCTCGCGCTAAATCTTGCGGCACGAGGAATCCCACTTTGGTTGATCAGAAACACACTCGCAATCGGTCGGAAAGCGTTTCGATGCACGCATCGTGAATCACATTACGCGCCGTCGGGAAGCACATCGCGGCAATTTTATTTACGGCGGCTCTCGTTGGACGCCGTTGAATCTATTTCTCTGGTAAATGTGTAACTAAAAAGCGGCGCGCGACTGCCACTTCTGTCCCGAGAAGGAGAATTTCGCTGATGGCAGGCGCGCCGTGAGCATATTTTACTTGTATCTTATTCACCTAGCACGCTTTTGTTAAAGGTAAATTGGACCTTTGCGCAGGTAACTAGAAAACACAACAGCACGCCGCAGTCTAATTTCCTTTGTTAACGCACTTGGAGCTATCAATCCTCCTCTCTTCTCTTCTGATCTCGGCGAACCATTTTTTACGTCACGACGTGGGCGCTGCGGTAACCGTAAGGTTGTTACTCTTTACGGAAGCTTCTCGATACGACGGACGTGTTAAGATTGAGTTACGGGCAGTGAAACATATACAATCGCGAAATATAAACGACGTTACCTCCTTCTACGTCCTCCTTCGGACGTGCCGGCGCGACGCGTGCTATATTATATTTCGAGGTACGACGCGCCACTATTCACGCCGATTTATCTCGTGTACACAAAAGGAACTTCACTTCTCGTTTATACGACGCGGCTTGGCGCGGCCGCGTCGGCGACGTCCGATGCCAAAGTTTGCATTCACAGGCACGTACCGAAGAGTTCGTCAAGCGAGTTTGCTCTTCCCTCGCTCTCGCGGGCGGGCTATCAGTTCGCAGACGTCTCAATCGATATCACTTACCGGGTCTCTCAAAAGCCTAACGACGATCTATCTCTCGCCTTCCTCGCGATGACGGCACCGCGCCGTGGCAGCCAATATCGCTCGTCACCGTCGATTTTGCGTATCCGCGAAAAAATCGAGCGACTGCGCATATCCGCCAATATCGAATGATATTGATATCGACTCCAACGAGTCCCGTCAGCGACTCGTTGTCTACGTTTCGTTGTCTACGGGCGAAGCCGCCCGACGGATTCTATCCGTCTCCCATTCGATTCCCGACTTGCTGCACGCCTCTTCTCGTTTAGAGCATTTATGAATGAGATGACACGTTTATCGACGGCACGAATCGCGAGCCGCCGGTTCCGGCTGTTTGTCCTCGTTCACGAGCTCCGTCGCCTAAGGACCGGTCGATCCGCTGGTCCACGTTCCAGGTGGCATAACAGCTGACAAATCATTATCGATCGCTTGGCCGCCCCGACCCTCCGTAAACATCATGAATCTCCGAGACGGGCGTCTGTTATCACTGCGCGGAACTGTAAATCCATCTCGCGCGGCCATCCATTTGCTCCGGCTCGGCACGGCGGAGTTCTATATCCGTTGGAGGTCCGGCGAGGGCCCTAAGTTCGCCGCAGCTCGCACAAAGGCGGCACGTTTTCCGCGCTAACAGATGTTGAACGACTCCGGATAGGATTATCGCAATCTATTGCGGGCAACAGGCACGAGGGGGTCCTTGAATTTTGCGAGAAATGGAGAATATCTTCTGCGGGGGCAGCGCCTTGGTGGTCGTTTCCGCCGGAGAGTGCGTCTTTGTCGCTTGCGGGGCGGAATACCGCCTGATCAAATCGCACATCTCATAGCAGAAGAAGCAGATGCCGATAATCAAGAATGTATCCATTTCGCCGCTCAGTCTGCCGGGAGTCTGCGAGCGTGTGTGAATTTTGTAAAAAAAACGTAGCACCAGTCGCTCCGAGGAGCGAAGGAGATCTCGCTTGAACCGACAAGAAATTCTCTCGCTTTCAATAACGCTTTCTATCCTACTACGTCCGTCGTGTAAAACGTGTCCCGCGCGCCGATCACGGAGCCGTTAAATGCACTTTAAGGCGACGGCGAACATCGGTTTAACTCCGTCAGTGACGTCGCATTCCCGTACGCTTCGTGGCCGAGAAGCGGAGACAGGGAATATGACGAGGGACGCGATTCGAGGCGCGAGTCCTCGATGCTACAACAGTCCGACCGGCCGGGATAATGTCAATCACACGATCTCGTCCGAACAAGGGTCGCACGAGACGTCGGACGTTAACGCGTTCCCGCTGTCGATGACAGCCAGGTCGTCGGTCGGGGGTTCGGGGATCGTGTCAATGATCCTACAGCCACTACGGCCACGTCTGTCGGCGAGCATCTCACTGAGAGCGCCGCCGTTGTCCGAGCATCCCCCGCGTATCAGCAGGACACCATCCGCGAGCTGTCCGCGTTCGCTGGTCGCGTCGTACACGCCGGGCCTCGCGCACGAGGTCGCTGAAGCGCGCGCTTTAGACACGATGGCAGCTCATCGCCGCGAGCGGAAGCGGCCGAGAGGGAGCCACGGCGAGGTAATCACAGAAACAAAACACAGACCATGTGAGCAAACTCGGGTACGTCAGCGTCGAGGTGGCACCGGGACATTAACCGCCTCGATCTTGACAGCCGTCACCGGTCGACGCTCGAACGTACGGAGAGCCGAGGACGCGCGCGCGCCCGATCGTCTTCGAAGGTGACAATCGCGAGGGTTGCGCAACGAGCGACTCTTCGCGCCCTTCGCGCTCGTTCGACGGCGGTTGAACCGGTCGACGAGGGATTCACCACCACCACCACCACTACCACCACCAACCACCACCGGGGCTCGCACTTGGATCGGATCGGGACACGCCGGTCGTCGGCGCGTAACCGCGTATAACGTGGAGCGCAGCTCGGCGAGGATGCGAGAACGGAGCAGCTACATCAGCGGACTCGCAACGGGCCAGCGTATGACTACCAGATACTCTCGGCGTGAGGGTGCGCCTTTACAAGAGTGGGCGGGTGGAAACGAGGGATGCTGGGCGACGGCGCGGCCCGCGGCGCCACCCCCGGCCCCTTCGCGCGCGAAGCTCTCGCAAAATCCACCATCTCTCCCCCTACGTCGCCCCCTTCGTGCGAACACTCGCCCCTTCGTCACCCAACTTCACCCTCCCCCCGGCCGCCCTCGCCGCGCAAGGCGCTATTCGCCGTTTCACCCCGGCTGTACCACCGACCAACGTTGCACTTCGGTCTTATTCTTCGTCATCCCGCTTCTCACGCTTCTTCCGTCCCTTTCCCCCCCGTCCTCTATCGCGTTCTTTTATCGCATTCTTTATTTCCCCGCGTCGTCCGCGCGCGCCGCGCGTCTCGCGCCCCTTCATCGCGTATCTCTCGTCTCGCGCCGTTGACCCGGCATAACGCCAGCGGCGATTTTTACGCCAGGCACGGTTAGGTCGGGATATTCAAGCGGATGAATGCGCTCGTGCGTCCGTCCGACTCGTGCGATCGCTCGCGACGTCCTTAATGCGCCTTCCGCTGTTTCTTGCGAAATGCTCGGCGAAGGGAACGGCTTATTTTCGCTCGACGGATGGAAATGATGAAAGCGAGCCCGCGAGAGAGGAGGGTGGAAATGTTACGGAGGGATCACAATCGGAATTAACGTACGACGAAAATGAGCCGGATACAGCCGGTGGGAAATTTATACCTGGAGCACGGAGCCGTTCGGTCATACGTCTCTTGCTGGGATTCGTTAGCCCACGGGATCGAAATCCGTAATCCCAGTGAAATCTTATACATGTCTGGCTTGCGAATTGCGCTCCTATTACGAGCGCGGTTTCGAGTTTTCGACGATCATCTATGATTTGCGCTACCGTCGCGGTACAATGGCTCGCTTCTGCTCCGAAATCTCTGTTCTGCAGCTCGAGATCGCTTGGTCTCGTTTTTTTTTTTTCGTCCACTCGTCCCATTTTCTTTTATATTCTTTATTGATTTCTCTATCGCGATTTCCCATAGAATTTTTTTAAACAAGCGTACTTTCCTTTTCACAGAATTTTTCTATCTCCTATTCTCGTTGCATACAATCGTCTGACCTATTTCGATCTTTTCTACTGCTCATGCAGTTCAGAAAGTTACTCGAACGAATGAGTTAATTTTTAATTTAATTACGTCTAGCTTAGCTTTAAACTCGTTGCTTGAAACATCAATTTTGCACCGTTTAATAATTGATTTCTTTTCGCAACTTCCTACCTCGGAAACCATTCAACTATCGGACAACTAAAGTCGTGCGTGTATCACGCCAAGATACGCATCATTTATCCATTGAAGCATTTTTGTACCGTCAGATTTTATGTTTTTCCATCTAGATACCTAAATTACACTTAATTACTTAATTACATGATTAACCCTTTGAAGCATGGTGGCAACTCACGTTACCACCTCAACTTCTTTACTTTTTGGCCGTTTAATTTCTAGTTAACGCATTCAGGTCGGGTTTTTTGTTAAAAAAATGCCGGTTAAAATTTTTGTGTTAAATGTTTAACACATTGCTCTTGTGTTAATTGACCTCAAATGTAAAATTATTAAAATAACTGAAACGAAATGTTAAAACAACACAATGTGTACTTATTTTTTAATCTCACACAATACATATGTTATATATTATTCGTAACAAAATTTATCTGTTAAAATTTACAGAATAAAATGTTGATTTCATTCTATATAACATAAGTGAGAGTGATTTCGGACCGTCATTTGACTTATTGCATCTGTAAAATGTAAAAATTACATTTCTTTAAATTCATTTTGTCACTAAAAATATGTTAACTTTACAGAAAATTTATTTTAAATTGTTTCAAGATTGGCATTAATTTTGTATTAAGATTGTTTAAGAGGATGCTGGAGTGGTTTGATTTACCGACAGAGTCGGATACTGTTTTTGCGTTTGTAAATTTTATTATTTGCATTTATGTACAAACTAATACCAGACCCAAGTGTAGAATGCATAGTTGAACATTTTCATATAAAAAACATTGAGATTTGAAGTCTAATTCGTATTACAAATATTGCAATACATAATGCGATACGAATTAGATTTCAAACCTCAATGTTTTTTATATGAAAATGTTCTACTATGCATTCTACACTTGGGTCTGGTATTAGTTTGTACATAAATGCTACATAATTATTTTCGTTTGTATCTATAATATGACATATTGAGGTTACGTTTCTTTACAAACCTCCAAAAACTGTATACGACTCTGTCGGTAAATCAAACCACTCCAGCATCCCCTTAACATATCCATATTGTGTTAAGTTAACACAAAAATTTGTGTGGACCGTTTGGGACATGTGATATCTGTTAAATTTTTAACACAAATTTTTCAACTGCGCAGCGACCCCAAAAACCCTTGTATACAAAGTTTCACAAAAAATGGCTCAATAAAAAGTTGTATGCTTCAAAGGGTTAATGCTTAACCGCATATCGCGCGTATAGATTTTATGGAAGTACATCGCTGCCCTTTCCGATGAAGCGGAAACCGAACATTCGCTCCTCAAGTTTTTGTCAAGCCGCACGCGGCGTAACAGTAGTATAAGTAAATGGCCCATATATCCTTAACAAACTTTCGCGAGCGCCGACCGACTTCGTGCATCATGAACGAGCAAGTTACGACGGATATCCCGCGAGATTAGGTGCGCCGGGTCGACAAATTGTGAGTTTGCATTTACGGTACATACTATCGGCGCAACTGTTCGCCCCAAGTTCGTGTCGCCGGTTTAATTGGCTTTAATAAAGTTCGGAGAGCCGCGCCGGGGAAGTCGCGGAATTAACAGTCGCGGTCTATCGCGCTAAGTGATAAGTGGTTAAAAAACCTTCTCCCGGGCAGATACGCCCGAAGTCCGGTTACGTGGCCACCATTCGTCCCTTACAGAAGAGCAAGTCTGAGTGATGTATAGCGAAAGAGCGGGGGAGGGAAGAGAGGGTACAACTGAGAAACAATTTTACCACAACCATTTAGTCATTTAGCTCGCCAATTTTTCTTTCGTAATATCGTAATCACTAAAAGATTTCTCTACCTTTAAACACGAAGGAACAATAACATTCGCTCCCTGAATGCGTTAAAAATGACTCGACGTTTATCTACAAATGGCTCGGCTCATGACACGTATTCTTTAAGTTGCTCTCCATCGCCTTACGTTTACACGGGGCAGACAAAGACAGCGAAAGACGCAATTCCACATTAGTAAACAGCTGATCGTTTTATACCCAATGATAGTTCGTTATATCGAATAAATTGAAGCGAAACCTCGGGTATTCGCGGTTGTACAGCGCGGTTGTTTCACTTGAAGAAACAATTGGGGAAATTTATCTGGATTCTATGTTGAGACTGAAGAGCGTCGTTTCGAAATGCAAATTTCCAAATGAAGATGAATGCGGCGTTATACTTGTCGCGCACGACGATGTCTCCTTGAATCTGATAACTATGCTAAACCGTCGTAATCACAGGTAAACTGTTGGTCAGCGCTCTCCCCACTAAGTCGATAATTGGTGCCTGTTAGGAGCAGATAAGGCACGCTACCGTCACGCTTGTCCAACATCTTCCGCTAATTGCTCTATATTTCCATCCCCGGCATAGTTACTTTCTTCCACAGTATGAAATTCATATGCGCGAGTGTTCAGCTAATCTTCCGTCGCCTAATTACTCAAGGCTGCTAACTAAACTTCACGTAGTTGCCAACTTCACCGCATCGCGCACGGACATTTTGCAATAATGGAAAATCGATTTCGCGTGGGTGCGCCATTACAATGCACCCCCGTTAGAACTTTCTGTTAAAAGCGTTAACTTCTTCAATCGCTATAACCGTTAATATCGCCCGTGTACTACAATGATACGTATTTGCTTCGACCATAAGCCGGCCCCATGGGGGCGTGCACTCATATCTAGTAGACAGCCTTTCCCGTTTTATCTCGTTTTTTCCCCCCATCAAACGCTGTTTGAGGCAGGCACGTAAAACTCGTCGCAAAATTCTTTTCTCAGGATAGAGACGCGCCCCATCTTTACGAACAGCATATTGTATCCCGCGGCATGAATTCAGATTCAATTCCTCTTTCATTCGGCACTGCTTTCCCCGAACCAATACGATAAAAGTTTCTTCGTCGTGTCGGACATGGAGATTTGTTGAGGCGCGCAGCGTGTATGTCGCGCCAAAATGTACGTGGTACGCACTTGAGATGGTTTTTTCGGATCGCACATACATCGCGGCTGTGCGATCGATATGCGGAATACGAGCACGCCTGGTATAAGTTTCAGTATCACATTGTAACGACAAATGTTATTGGTTTGTCGGCTGAAACGGCGCGCCGAATGAAAGGGTTGTTAATTACGAGAACAAAAGCTTACGCGAGCCGGATCGATAGAAAACAACACGTATAAATATACAGCGCGCTGTACCATTGTAATATATACATCTACTCTTTATGGCCTCCTTCTCCACTGTATTACCGTTGAATCTGTGAAAATAATTCATTACCAAGGATAATAATGTCACAGGTATCTTGAAAACTAGTGTAGTTTTATCCCCCTGAAATATCTTCGGCTAAATAAATTAGCTTTATTTTTTTTTGCTCCGGAGAAGAACCGTGGGATGCAGAATATCGTGCAATTTTAATGCGCACAG